GCAGACACTAAATAACTCTTGGTTGCAGTTGTTTGTTTGTTTAGATTATAAATTAGTATCAGGTGTTTTTTCACTTGCTTATTTTATTGTGACACCTTGAATTCAATTATTATTTTTAAACACCAAATATCTACTTTTGGATATATTCTAAATGTGCAAATAATAATGAAAACATTCTGCTGCATATGTGTGATGATACACCCTTGGTCCATGTGTTTATTCAGTTAGTAAGTCATTCTGTTGCTGCAATGCTTGAGGGTAGCTGGAAGGTGAAAAGTGCTGTTAAAAATCCTCTTCTATTTTATTAGGCTGAAGAGTTGCAGAGACTAATGGATTCAAAGTTCAGGGAAATTGTAGCAGGTTCGAGCTCCAGGGGCAGACCGTGGCCATGCCTGGGTCCAGCTCTAGGGTGCCCTTGCCTTCTTACTTGCCTTCCATGCTTTTGATGCTATTGTTTCATTGGGAGGGAGGCTGCCTGAGGGTCCTGGAGCTAGAATGGATCTAGCTAACAGCCAGCAGGTCCCCAAGGGACTCTGCTCTAGTCTCAGCTCTGTCCCTCCTGGGCAGAGCAGGTCCTCCTAACTGTCTTTGCTGCCCCAGGGCACCTATAGCCTTAAGGACTGTTACATATAATCATTTCCTGTCTTCAGCCTCAGCCTTCTCAGCCTCCACCCCATTCCTCTTGCTGAGCCCTCTAGCTCCAACCACTGTACTGGACTGAGCTTCTGGATCCCAGGTTCTTATCTTGCCATCTGGACTTTTGTCTCTCTCGCTGCTCAGGCTGCTGGGCCCTCTGTTTATAACTAAGCTTCTAGCTATATACCACAGCTCCTACCCAACCATGGGCCTTAGTCCATCACTAGCCCTTTGCTTGCTGTCTCCAGGCAGAGCACGCTCACAGTCCGCTGCTCAGCAACTGCCATCTCATAGGTGAACTCTCTCTTCAGCCTCCAAAGCCAGACTGCCCTACATTGGTTCTCCCCTCTGCTTCTCTCTCTCCCAGGCCCTGCCCCTTTCCTGTCAGGTGACTCCAAGGGGTTGGCTGAAGGTGCCCTCTAATTAGGCTCATTAACTGGGCTCACTAGCAGTGCTGTTGAAGCTGTGCCCTATGTCCCCTGCAAGGCTGCCCCTAGGCTCTTTCCCCCTTAAGTGACAGAGTCCCAGGCTCTCTGTTACAAAAATGGTACATGGTAAGTTTACATCCAACTAAAAAGAGGAGTCTGGCTTTAATAATTAAGTCCAGTAAAACCATGATACTCATTCTCCTCCTGGACATTACAGGATCACTCAGGCATCTGAAAAGACAGTTGCCAGAAACAGTACTGTGCAGGACAATAACAAATGCAGAGTAAAGTAGTGCAGAATGTGTGGCTGGCATGCTGAACCTGCCAGCACTCAAACATCTGCTTAAATTGATTAAAATTTAGCTGACCTAGCCTCGATGTGTCCTGGTCTAAATACTCCTTAAATCAAATTAGTTTTCATTGGGTCTTGAGACTGACTGGTTCCTCCAGCATCTCCATGGTGTCACCAAGAAACAGTTACTGCCCCTTCCAATTCCTACAAGGGACATTGGGCAGGAAGTAGCTTGTCTAACAGGTTAGCAGAAGCAGGGGAAGTATTGCAGAATGTTGTACAAAATTGAACAGTAAAATTCACCTGTAACATGGTGTGTGTTCAGCATCCCATTAATATTTTCCTTTCTTATCTGTGTTATAGCTGTTTAATGATAGCTCATGCAGAGCGTGGTCCTCTTCCCATTGAAGCATCGGGTTGTTTTTTCATTGACTTATTAGGAGCAGGCTCTTAGTTACAGGGCATTGAACTATAGTCATCAGCAATAGAAATCCACAGTGGTAGCAAATGCCCTAATCAGCAGAATTTAGCAGTTAGGAATCCATATGAACACTGTCTGTTTCTAGACTTTCTATAGGGTGCTGTCTGTCCTCCACCATCTTTAATAGGATAGTAGTGTAATTTACATCCCTGCCTTCTTTTGGATGATTAACTCCCAGGCTGAGTTTGACCAGTTAATCACAAAGATCAAGATGCTGTAACTTGTTGCAGCAGACTGACCCTTGTTTTGTTCCAAAACAATTTGGGAAGCACACTTGACTGGATCCTTCTCCAGTTATTTACCCCAGGAATAGTCAGATAGGCATAAACACTGTAATATGTAGCACCATTCAGAACTTTCCACACCAGACTTGCTTGCAAATTTGCTTTAGAACTCACCAGTGAAGTGACTTGGGTTGTACCTCGCAAGTTTTCCATATGGGTGAAATCCATAAAAGTCTGTTAAACCTCTGTTTACAAGCTATGCTCACTATCTACTGTAGTTGGTTAATGTATACTTTTGAATGTACTTTATAATAATGACTGAGTGAAATTTGAGAACATTGAAAAAGAAACCTCATTGCTATGTGTTGCTCCCCGATCGGGTTGCAGAGGAGGGTGCGCTCGTCAGGTACCTGGACTTATAAAGGCAGGCAGGGAACTCACTCGTATGGTTTCAAACAAGTTTATTTTTACTTACACTCCGCATCGGAGGTGCAGGCTGCAGACTTCTTACAAAGTTTTCGGTTCGTCTTTCATTCGCCAGTTACCGAGACGCAGAACTGCTCGCAGGATTCGATGCGCTAACCGGGGAAGGGGTACGCCAGGAGTTTTCGATGGTGGGAGGCACGGGGGTGGCTGGTCCCCGTGAAGTGTGGAAGTTGCACACTTGATGGATTTCACTAAGTCCTCTCTGAGCAGCGCTAACCACCGCTTTTTATACTCATCGCAACCCTGAGGTGCGCTTTCACCCAATCAGCTTCAGGCATTCTACTCCTGGCCTGATTTGAAGAGTGTGGCAGTTAAAAAGTGCGGGAGTTACTGGTGCGCTCAATTACTTGAAATCACGCAATGATCCCACGCTGGCCACACGTGCCCATTGGCCAGTAGGGCCGTAGGTGGCGATATGCTGACACATTAGGATACTACATACGGGGCAGTATGAGGGCACAGTGTGAGGGCGCAGCGGCACAACAATGGACTAGTTTCTTACACTATAATTCAGATTTTTAAAGAAAATATGCAGAATTTGTATAAATTAGTTACCTCTTCTATTGATGTAACTTCCAAAGCAGCTTTAAAAATATACCTACAGATTTTTATAGAGGAAAGCCCTGTAGTGAGTATGCACAATGCTGAGCTGGATTCTGGTTTCAGCTACTTGAGTAATGTTTTCCCTTTGATTCCCAGTGAATAAAGGTGTGAAATAAGGAATTTAAGAATTGAAGTATTGAAGTGTTTGTGGTGGGGAATAGAACTACAAGCATCTGTCCAGATGGGATGGATTTTGCATACTCAAATGGCCATGTTCCCACATTTGTGAAGGTTCCTTTTGGGAATCTACCGCAATACTGGTGTCTTCTGATGCGAACATTTCTCATATTAAAAGCTACTTATCTATCTTGTCATCTGAGGTGATTTGACAGGAGCTGACAAAGTACCCACACATCTTTGGTACGAAGGATAAGACTGTGGTTCACAAATTGGCCTGCAGGGTAGGTACTGCTGAAGTCATGTTTTTTATTATTAAAAACGCAGATAAAACACTGCTTTTTGGTTTTTTCTCTCCTTAGGTACTTTTCAAGCGCCAATCATCCATGGATTTTGCACATTAGAAGAGAACACTTAGTGCTTGGTGCCTTGCAGACTCTAAGGTTCAGACTGCCTACAACATATAAGAGACCTTTAGAAGTAAAAAATTAAGCTTTATTAATTGGTTAGCTCTGAATGTATTGTTCTGGAGTGCTTCAGCCTTTCAATATAATTAATAACCAACAGTGGAATCTTTTTTTTCAGAATTCAGAAGCATTTAAAATCCAGTCAAAAACTAAAGGAGGGAGAAAGTACTATGCCAGCATACTTAAAAGCATGTTGTATGTAGGCTTAGGGCAAATGACAAAAAGCAGCCAGCAAAAGACAGTATCACTTATTTTTATTATGAAATCCCTTTGAAAGATGGAACATTAGCTAAATTGATACCGGATAACCAAGTGTTGCTTCTTTCATGGCTCTGCAGTAGTTTGCTAGAGGTGAAGTGATGGGTGATGAAAATACTAGTCTTTGCCAGCAGTCGTCCATAATTGGACAGAGGCCAAGGACTGACTTCTACAGGGACTGAACTGCTGTCTTCCTTCTTGTAGATGGTTCCTGCACAACAAAAATGAGGTGTGTTGGGGGCATGCCATGGGAGCTGACAAGGTATAGCTAAATAGCAGGTTTCAGGTCCCACTTCTCTTGATCTAGCAACAAGTATCCTAGAGGAACAATGAGATGACTGAGGAATAAGGGCCAGTGAGATATGGCTAAAAAATGGTAATGGGATTCTGCTATCTGGTGGGTGTACCTGAACCTTGCTGCCAGATCAGAAGCTACACACTTGACTCATGTTATAGAAGCGCTGCTTGATGGAGTACTCTGGCTCTTGTCTCTATTCTGACCCATCTCACAAAGAGCTGGTTAATGCCCAAGCTTTTGTTGCCCTATTTACTTCCTTTTGACAGCTACTCATCTTCCCACAGGAGGCCACCAGCTGTCTTAAGGTAGTGACCCTGCTGCCCCACAGCAGTAAGTGTCCACAATAACTTGCCTATGGTTTTGTTGCTTCACTAAGCAGCATATCAAAAGATAGGAAAATCCGCTCAGATTAGAGTTACCTGGATTGTGTTTTTGCCTAGAGTAGTGGGCTCTTCAGTGGGTCAGATTCCCAATCCTGACTTGTTCTCAGTCAGTGTAAAGCTAGCAAGGGGGAGTGTTGGAAGGCATTTTTGAGCCTATTGCCTTACTGTCAGCTGTTACCAGCCACTGCCAGTTCGAATAAATTAAAGCATCTGCCAAACTACTATTTCATGGCACTTCTTGCCTGAATAGTTGTGCCAGGCCTGCTGATCTACGAGGAAATCGTATTGGAGTGACATGGATACCCCACCTTGTTTTTTTTCTAAAATAAAAGATGTGCTGTGTTGGATGTGCATGAATGACTGCCCTCAAAACATGGCTGCAGTGATCCTAAAAAGTCTAAAGCTCACATGGATTAAAAAAATTCTTTGCACAGACAAGTTTGCTGTTGCACAGTGTTTTGATTTATTACGCTGCATTTTCATAGCACAGTGACAGAAGCATTTCATGAATAAATCTGTTCAACCTAGCAACGCACCTAAAGACGAACAGTGCCATCTTTAAAGAGCAGCCCACATTACTGTTTATTATAACAACCTGGTTAAGTAATTAAACTATATCTCAGTCAGTACATGGAGTCATTCAGGGCAAAGACAAACACCCACTGTAATATGCTTTCACACCATTACAGTGCACCTCTGGATTTTGAGGGACAAGGGCAAAAGTACTTAATTGTCTTTCCTGACAGAAATTAAGCAGTCATACACAAAGTCCTCTGTAGAAGATCATTGTGAAGTGCCAGGAGGATGGTGATAAAGGTCATCATTACTGAGAGAGAGCAAGGGAGGAAGAGACCATTCCAGTTACATGGAACATAATATTAGTGTACAGCTAAGATAAGCTACACAACTACCGCAGAGGCCCTGTGATTGATGAGCCCACTGGGCAGTGCCCTCGGGCTGTCTGCCTGCCTTAGTTGTGTCTAAAAAGTTTAATGCCCATCCAGGTCCACAGGTGGAAGAACACGTACACGGGGATTGTAACAGGAAGCAGCAGACTGTAAAAACATAAGCTGTTTGTGCTGGTGCAGCCCTGTGGGAAGTTTTCATCCATGGTGGCCGAATAAAACAAGCCAACCAAGGAGAGCAGTGGGATGAGCACTGTCAGCGTAGGCAGTGAAAGGAACATGACTACTTTTCACACGAGCCTCCCAGTCTCCAGCTTTGCTCTCTAGGACAGCACTATCTAGCTTTGCGTTGACTCCTCGCCTGTGGAGTGAAGGGGCTCGGCTTCGATCTTCCTCGCCGCCTGTGGTATCATGTTAGGGATGCCGTCCACCACTGGGTAGGCGATGCCCAGCTCCTCATTGATCAGTTCGTTGGTGGATTCTTCGTACCTGCATGAAAAACGAACAGGTCAGTGCCGTGGACGCAAGGACGGGAGCCCCTCCACGTGTGTATGTGTGTGTGCGCGCACGTGTGCTCATCTGCACCTATGTGCGTGTGCGCACAGGTTCACACAAGTGCGTACCGCAGCGGGCGCTTGGACAGCGGGCACACGAGCAGCCCCAGCAGCGCGGGGTCCAGCCCGGCGGGCAGGGCAGAGCCCCGGCCGCTGTCCGGCCCGCGCGTCCTTCCCGCCGCCACCTGCAACCCCCTACGCAGCGCAGTGGCCCGGCCCAGCATCGTCCTGCCCGCGGCAACTTCCGCCCGCCCGCGCGCCGCTTCCTGTGCGCCTGGAACCCGCTCCGCCCGCGCGCCGCCCCGCGCTTGGGTTCCGGGGTGCCCTATGTGCACTCCCCGCCGTCCGTTCCCTTCATCTGGTGCCTGGGCTCGGGAGGGCTGTGCTCGCTCTGTCTCTTCTTGAGGTGTTTCTGGCTGCAGGCTGACAGGGCGCGTTTTTGCAGTTCTATTCCACAGCAGCTTTTAAACGAGACCTACAGGTGTTTACGGAGGAAGGTCCTGCCCTGAGTCTGCACGGTGCTGGTCTGGACTCTGAGTCCAGTGGCTTCGGTCATGTTTTCCCTTTTATTCCCAGTGAATAAAGGTGTGAAATCAGGAATATCAGAGTTGAAGCGTTCGCTCCGGGGAGCAGAGGCACAAGCAGCTGCTTTCACATCCGGACAGGATGGATTTTGCATACGCAAATAGGCGTGCTCCCACGTTAGTTGAGAAGCTACCCACATACTGGTATCTTCTGATGTCTGCTTCTCACATTAAGAAGCACCCACTGAGGCAGTCCCTGTGTCCGTGCGCTTTAGTGTCGAGCCCCTGGAGCACTGTGCTGGAGGCAGCGGGGACTCAATCAGTGGGGCTCATTCTTTTTTTGGATCCCCTTGGAAAATCCCAGCTCTCTTCTTATGCCTACAGAAAAATAATAAGAGCAGGGTTGCTTTTTTTTCTGTAGTCGAGCTCAGGAGGCCACAGTGGCAGATGCCTGTTTGACATCCCTGGGTTTATCTCATGAATGGTGCTTGCATGAATCTCAGTGCTGGCATGGCGAGGTCCTCTGCGCCACCCTCAAAAGGAGCTCATGGCCCCTTGGTTGGGAATTGCATTAGATTGGGGTGCTCAGCTCCTAGCCGGTCAGCTGAACGTGGCCCATGGAGTCATGGCATCCAGCCCGAAGAGCTCCACAAGGGTCAGGGAGGTTGGTGGTGAGGGTGCAGTGGCAATTAACAATGCAACCCCCCTCCCACACCAAATTCTGGAGACCCACGTGGCCAGATCAGGGCTGGGCCATGTTCCCTCATCCTGCGTGGCTGGATCAGGGCAATGATGTCCCCCCTGTTCCCTTCCATGTGGCCAGGACCTACTGTTTCCACTGGATCAGGTCCACCATCCAGATCCAGCCCATGTACAAACCAGGCCCAGCCCATCTGGACCATGGGGCAGAAAGGTTGAGCATAAATGCACCTTGACTAGATGGAGCCCATCTTCTTCTCAGTGACTGTCTATACTGTGCTCTACTGTATGTTCTACTATGTTCATGCTTCTGGGCTTTGCTGGTTGCCACATGGGGCTGGGAGGGAATTCCCCGTGACCTCCCCCACTCCCTTTCTGCACTGGTCCGGTCCTGCAGAGAGCATACCAGGAAAGCCAAAGCTGCAGCTGAACTCCAACTAGCTTCGAGCATCAAGGACAATAAAAAGTCCTTTTTCAGGTATGTGGGGAGCCAGAGGAAAAGCAAGGGCAACTTTGGACCCCTGCTGAACCAGATGGGGCAACTGACGCCCAGGAAAAAGCCAACCTATTAAATGGGTACTTTGTGTCAGTCTTTCATCAGTCCCATGGGACACCCATGCCTGCTACGGGACAGGGACGTCCGGGTGGGGGAGATCCCCTGCCCTCCATAAATGCTGGCCTTGTGAAGGAACAT